GGGGCCGGGCGGGCCGGGCTGGACGGTCGGAGACGCGGGCGCACAATCCCGCCTCTGCGCGCGCGAAGGTCCGGAGCCCGCAGACCGCCGCGGAATGCCGGCGCCCTCCGCCCCGCCGCCCGCGCCCCGCGGTGTCCCCGGCTTGTTGATGTGTCCTTTGCCGGGCGACTCCCTTTCTGCGGGGTCAAACCAAAGCCGACCTTTGCAAGCTGCTTTCTTCTGAAGAGTAACATTACCACGCGGGGTGTGTGTGTGTGTGTGTGTGTGTGTGTGTGTCAACGGTCATGTTTTGAAATCCTCCCCGTGTCTGTCCAGGCCTCGGTGCTCCCGGAGATCCCACTGCTGTCCCGGGTGCACGGTCTGCTCAGAACACACAGCTTTTCAAATACCGATGTATAACGCTGCGCGGACAGAAAACGGATGACAAAGCAAAAGTAATAATAGAGGGGGCGGGGGACTCGTGTAGGCTTCACCACAGTGTGGAAACCTCCAAGCGTCCCGGTGGATGTGCAGACCTAAAACTAATTTAAATAGCAAGTTTTGTAAATTTTAGAGATGTTTGTTTCATTGGGTGTTTTTAATCGCCCCCCACCCCCCCCCCCCCCCAAATTGGCTGCAGAGCGCATTCCCACAGACTGTTTCCCATGCAGTGCTCATTCGAGTGAAGTTGGCTTTTTAAACTATCCCTAATGTGTTGGAGCTAAGAGCCTTCATCTCTGAAATACCAAAGTCCAGTAATGAAAATAGTGAGCTATATTTGACAAAGCCTCTTTATTTTTGTCATTACTTGGTCCCTTCCAGTGCGGAGATAATTTCTCTCTCCCCCAATTGGAAGTCTGTCATCCTGCTGGGCTTTGTCTTCGGCGTTCTTTTCTGCTGCACTGGCGAGTGCGGCTACATAAGGAGGCTTTTCAGCCGAGGAGCCCGAGGTGTTGAACCACTGCCATGGGGATGAATTCTTAATAGACCTCTAGTCTTCTTTCTCAAAATTAAAGCGCGGTGACTTGCAGAAAAGCATATGTGTATAAATGGCATCTTCCTGTTCCGACATTCTGTCCCTTTATGCCTTTAAGTTCCTGTGCTTCTTCATAGACTCAAGTTGTTTTTCTGTTGTCTTGCTTTGTGGTGAGCATCACGGTGTCAATACAGCTCGGAACTGTCTAGCTGTGTTCCACACATGCCATGCTAGTCGTCAGCCACGGTGTCAACTGAATTTTAACAGTAAGAGCTTTATTCCTGATGATGCTATTACCAGGAATGACTTGGCTCTGAAAGTAAAGAATTAGTTTGCAAAGCTGGCAATTAGATTGCTGGTGTCCAAAGTAAGTGCATGTAGTATATTGCTGAAGAGAAAATTTAGTATTGCTAGAAAATAAATATGGGCTCCCTGCAGTGTTGTTTTGTAATAAAAGACATATGGCTACGTGAAGTGCTTACGGTACGATGCATGCCACAGAGAAGGCACTAAATCAGTGTTAATTATTATTGTTTTTCTGACTCTCATTACAAACCCCCACTTGGATTATGTATGAGTGGTATATTAATATCCAAACTACAATTCATAGTTCCACCCAACTGGTTTTTTTTACAATGGTCTCAAAGAAACCTGAACTCCATAGAATAGCTCTGATTCTTAAATCACAAAGACGCTTAGAACTGGTATACATTTAGGCCATGAACATTTTCAGGCTGACACATTCTTCTATTATACTAATTGTCATTGTTCAAGACCCCAAGATAATATGCTGAGCCATATGTTAATTTTGATACCACATTGTAAGAATAATAAGTAGATAGGACATCCACCTTCTAGTCTCAGTGCACTGCTGAGTTCTGACACATTTAAGAAATCATATGTAAGTGCTCAAGAAATACTGCATAAAAATAAAATCATATGGGATTTATTAGCAACCTCACCTTATAGACAGAGGCACTGAGATGTGAAATGAAAGACTACAAAGCTGTACTGGATGAGGTTGAAACAATTTTTTCTGTTAAATTTATGAGTCTTTTTAAAATTTTCCATTTTTTTATTTTTAAAAGTATTTTATTTTTAGTTACACTATTATAAAAGAACTCCATTTAAATCAGCACTGATCCACAAATATGTCTAAATATCTATAAAATTTAAGTCTGCATGAAACCTTATGGTATCATGTAATGGGAATAAATATATGAAAACAAACAATGGTATTTTTAAATTTTTGGTTAAGCTTTGAACATTAAAACAATTTTTTTGAAATATTTTGAAAACCCGTTTCTAAGACCAACCAAATATAGTAAACCTTTTCCTGCCCCAATCTTCATAGGCTCTGGAAAACAGAAAATGCCAGGGAAAATATTAGAATCTTAATCCATCTCGGAGGAACAAACAAGACAAATATATCAACAATATTTAGTGAGCTAGAGATCATTTAATTTTCTAACCAGCAATAAATTAAACCAACTTTTGAGATATTTTAATTCTATAATTGTACAACTCATAAGCCCTTTTACTGGACATATAAATTCAAAGGATGGTTTTTAAATAAAAATTAAAGGTATATAATAAAGGTACAAATAGCAGACTTTCTAGGGTAGGCTGCTACATGCATAGTAGCCTATGCATGTGAAAATTAGTCTGGTTAATCTAGGAAGTTAAGTAACTAAACTCTTCCTTTGATAGAAATGTCAGTTTTCTTAATTCAGTTATTAAAAAAGAGAAATTCCAGAGGATTCTAGAAGTAAGTAGGGTATGTGCTACTCTATTTGATAAGTGGAGAAATGTATCTTTAGACATTTCTGTCTTCATTATATTTCCATGTTCCTGATATTTGGTTAAGTTTTAGGTTACTAATAGAATTTTCAGCAAACAGGTTTTCACAGAGAAAGTAAAACTATAAAAAGCTCTTAAAATAAGAATTTTAACCTTACTTGTTTTTTTAAAAAGTTAATCTTACCAACTCAGAAAGACATCTGTGGTTAAATGTGCTCTCTAGCATTTAATAACTTAAGCTAATGCTACCAAAAAAAAAAGCCAAATCCTAAATAGATTAATAAGATATTTACACTGAATGCAAAGAAAATGTGTGTGTGTGTGTGTGTGTGTGTGTGTGCGTGTGCGCGCGCGCGCACATAAGGTGTTAAAGGGAGAATTAGACCTTGTAAACATTGGTCATGTTCCTTTTAATGTGTTGGAAAATTGCTTTACGTTACCTTATTTTCATCTAAAGTCCCCTGGTGTCCAGGACCAATCTTACTGATTTTTTATTCTGTCTCCCACTCAAGTGCTGAGCACAGCAGAGTGTTTGTTGTATGATAGGTGTTTGGTAAGTAATCCTTGACCAGTTTGCAGGTGGCTGCTATGAGGGCGTCAGCACACAGCTTTGTGGCCACTAGTCCACTCCCAGTAGCCATCAATCCAGTGAGTGATGTTACAAGGGTAGAGAGATTCCACAGCATGGAGGCCTTGGATGTTTTCCATCCAGCCTTTCACCTTTTCTCTTGATAATGAAAGGCATAGTCCCAAACAATGGGGCTAGAAGAAGAAAGTGTGGTTGCCTCATTCCTAAAATAGAGGTCTGGGTCTACTGAGCAGCTTTAAGACAACTCTGTCAACTGGTTGTCATTGGTACAATAAAAGCAAAAAGAATGTAGGAGACATTATGAAAACCAGGTTCTAAGGTGACCTAAGTGTCATAAACCTGACTCCTGCCCCAAATTTCACAGGCTCTGGAAAACAAAGTGTCAGGAAAAAGGTTAGGGATTTAATAGACCTAAGGAGGACAAATGATAGAAGTATATTCTCTATGTCTCATGCCCTTTTCTGCTAGAAAAATGGATATTATATATGATATATATGTATATAAATAAATATATTTTATAGCATATAATGATAGTATATAAGTATATGACATACAATTTTATTATTTATGTAAATACTTGTAAATACATATGATTGTATAATATGTACTGATGTATAGGATATATATAATTTTGCTGGAAAATTGATATTTTTAATGCAAGCTCCCATTAAATTTTATGTAAACAAATAAAAACACCAAATGAAGGGAACATGTACTATTAAATGCTTTACCAGCAGTAAAATAAGGGAAACAGAGAAGTACATGTTGAGAAAGGTGTCACTCATGGGAAACCCAGGATGAAATATCCCAGGACTTTCCCCAGGTCAAATCTCTTCTTTATCTGCTAGCATCTCTGGAAATCCAAAATGCCGAATTACAGGCATTTGCTTTTGGAAATGCAGCGCAAATTAAACATTTAAAAAGTGCTGTTGACATTTGCAATAATTCTACGAGAAGTGAGAGGCGTGGCCTAAGGCACCTGTTAAGACTGTGTTATAAGTTGGTACTTGGAAGCACCAGTGCCACACACATGTAACTTCACCAATGATGGATGAAACATAAAGAGAGGAAATGGAAAGTGAGAGGGTGCTTAAAACAACATAAACATTTCTGAGGATCTAGGTCTGCACAAAAGTGGACAGTGGGGAGAGGGGCTGGAGGCGCCATCCCGCCAGACTCGGGGACCCACAGCAGGTGGATCCTGCAAGGAGTTGGGCAGTCTGGGGTGGTGGGGACCAAAGCGCTCCCAGGGAGAAGAGAAAACACTGATACAGCTTCTGACTAGGAGCCGCACTCAGCCATGCAGGCACTGCACCTGGGATGCCTCCAACCAAAACACAACTCGCTCCAGGAGGCAGGAGGGCCCCACCTGGACTGGGTCGAGGCCGTCAGCCAGAGGCGGGAGTGAACGAATAAGCACCTAGAGAGAGGCCCACCTAGGATGAGCTGACAAACCCGAATTCCAATCCACAGGCATAAACCAAATGCTAAAGGCCATCAAAAGCAGCAACCTAGAGTGAATTCATTCCAGACAAAATAGAAACAACAGAACATTCTGAAAAGAGCTTTAAGTAAATGTTTAGGAACCTTAAAGAAATATATGACTGAATAACTTCCATAAAGAGGGATAAGAAATTATGAAATAAAGAACTGGCAGAAATAAAACAAGGACATATTTAAAAAGAACCAATTAGAAATCCTAGAAATGATCAATTTAGTGATTGACTAAAAAATAAAAAAAGCAAAGTACTGAGAAACACATCTGGAAAGTAGGATGAGAAGAAAGAGATGTTTAAAAATAAGATTTTTGTGGGACAAGAACAATAGGTGAGAGAGTTCAATCTAATCACAATTCCAGAGGAATAGAGGGAACGGCAAAGAAGCATAATTAAAGCTAGGA